GTAATTTTATTTTCTCTGCAGTGAAGAAAATGAGCATTTGTCAGGTGTGGCAGTTTGTTTTGTGGGAGTGGGATGTGAAAGGGGAGTTGGGCTTTCATGTGTTTCTCTTGACCAATGCAGAAACAATACAGCAAAATGAAAACAAAGAAAGGTTATTTTTTGCTAATGTCAGTTTTGAGTGGGTGAGGGTTCCCAACTGGCACTGCATTCTGCAGGGACGGTACAATTTCTGTGTGTGCAGACAAGACATGGCAAGACCTTAATTTATGCCTTGTGCATGCAAGAGAGGTACCCAAAAGAGGAGGCTAAACTCCTTTCCATGGAGCTGCCAGCCAAACCTTGGCTATCGTATGTGACGCTGAGTCCTGCAGTGGATGTGGATCACCACTCCCTTCAGGAGGTTGCATAACTTTACAAGGTTTCTTGAAGGTTTTAAAGGCAGCTGCAATAACAAAGCTTGATCCAAGGCAAAGAGCACTGATGTGAACTGACCTGAAATTCAACTGCGACACCATCTCCATCCTGTGTTTAGAGAAGAAGTTTCAGCAGTAAAACGCAGATTTGCCTGTAGCAGCACCCCTGCAGGGATCTCCAGGTCCTCGTGGCTGACGTTAACGCTCTCACCTTGTCTCTCCTCCCAGCTTCACGTGGTTGTGTGGCCAGGTTCACCGCAACCTCCTCTCCAAGTTCACGGGTCAGGTGGTGGAGCTGTTTGACGAAGAGTTCCGACACCTTTATGCACTGTCCAAGCCAGTGAGGGGACCCAAGTCTCCGCCATGCACCATGCCCTTCCTGTTCAGCAAGAGCTGGGTCCCGCAGCGCAGCCTCCCCGACAGCAACGAGGAAAGCGCCAACACTCTTTACCCTGCAGCAGCCTCTCGGCCGGCAGCGCCCACCAGACCAAGCAAACCCCAAGAACTCCCATGTTCAGCAGCAACTTCAGCCCCCAGCCACCCCTCCACAGAGTTAATTCCTTCCACAACTACGTCTCCTTCACACCACCCCCACCACAGGCCGTCATCCAGGCTAACTACTACCAGCCGCACTACGTGGCCGATAACTCTGCAGCTCTCTATAACAACATGAACATTTACAGACCTGTAAGATTGAGACAAGAGGAACCAAACCGGACAGGGTTAAGCTCACCTTGGAGATGCCTCCACAAAGCTAACCTGTTTGCATAATAACCAGGTTGCTTTGGATTGCAAGGAAATGTAGTGAGGACTAGTTTAGCAATCGCTTGTGTACGGATGAATATAGAAATTCTCTATAATACAAAACAAGGATGACTTCAAGTCTCGTTTTGTTTTGCTGCTTACGGATGCTTCGTTTCCCTAATTACAAAGCCAAGCCTGGTACCACGTGAACCGTGGGTGCACCACGATCCCAGGAAGAACACATCCAAATAATGCTGCTCACTGTGCAACCCCGCTGCTGCCGATCGCCTGCCCGTGGTAGCACGTTTGTGTAGCAGCAGACTGAGGTGGTTCAGTGGTTTCCATGCAGCCAGGCACATGGCGGTGGGCAACTCACCGTTTATTACTGTGCATTTTCTGCACTCACATAAGGAGACTGAAGGCTGCCGTTCACGTGCAAAACGAGGTGATGCTGGCAGCAGCAGTTCACCTTCATGACACCATTGCACCTTAATCTTGATTTAAGATGACTCCCTTAGGGCTGGCAGGGAAGCACGGTTTCTACCACTGCAGTCTCCAAGCTGACTGCTTGAGGTGCACAGCAAAGGGATTTTAGGAAGAGGCCTGGTAACCAGGACATGGACCGAGACGACAATTCGGGTGACGGAGGACATCTCACAGCCACCCTGTGCGCACTTTTCCACTCGTTCGCAACACGGGTGCGTTCCAGCTCACTTTGTTACAAACCTCCACTCCCACATCCCGCCAGCTCAGAGCAATTCCTCACTGCAGAGCAGCTGCGTGGATTCACACTGCAAAACAGAGCTGGGTAAAGAAGCAAAGTCCTACTTGTAACACGCCAGGGCTGAGTTCCAGTTCACTTCATAGCACGTGGATCTTGGAAATCCTCTCGGTGGTCATTTGATTGAACGTTAAGTGAATAATGATGCTTTATTTCAGAGTTTTTTGAGGTTTCTAATTTTTAAAGAGAAACTGGGTGTAGTGCCCACTGAATACAGTTACAGAGGGTTCCACAGGTTCTGCAGCTTCAGCCAAAAGCAGAAAAACTTTCTGCCCAATAATCCATGAAAAATAGGAACTTTATGTAAAAAATACTAAGAAAATTCACGAAACAAAGGCTTTCCATCCAAATCCCAACGTTTCTAGATGCCTAACATCTATTGATTTATGAGTAATTGGGTTTTTTAACATCTGCTTTATCTCATCTTTCATCTGACTCCAACAGAAAACAGAAACCTAAACACATTTGCACATCAGGCCCATTTTGCCCAACTTCTTACCTGCTCATAAAGAAAAGGAATACAATTTAATTATTTAGGCTCTGGATGATGAAAATTGTACGCAGCAGGAGGATCTCAGGTGAGGAAAGTTCTCATCCTTGGAAAAGCAATAATTTTGAAAGTGTATGGGAAAGTTTACAGAACATGATGAAAGGTACAGGATGGACGCATCCTGCGCTAGCTTTGGTGTGGACATTTTTACCTCTGATGTCAAATTTTGGAGTCCAGAACAACAATAAGCTATTGCATATAATTGTAAATTCTGTATATAGCAACATTTTTCAGATTCCTTGGGAAGAAGGGAAAGTTTATTTTCATTCCTATGACAATTCTACTTGACTATCTAAATATGGCAACCATTCCAATAAGAGAAGTCTTTCATTAAAATCTCTTTGAGAATCACTTTGTCTCTTCATCTTTCCAACTTGTGCACCTTACTGTCTGCTCTTCCAAAAGCTGTGTGAGCTCCATACGGTCAGAGCCCAGGTGAAGAGGAAACACTTTCTGTTTCTTCTGAAATCAACAAGAACCCAACACCCAGTGGCAGGACAAGCGGCAGTGGTTTTAATCTGAAAGAGGGGAGATTTAGACTGGACATAAGGAAGAAATTCTTTACTGTGAAGGTGGTGAGACACTGGCACAGGTTGCCCAGGGAAGCTGTGGATGCCCCCTCCCTGGAAGTGTTCAAGGCCAGGTTGGACAGGGCTTTGAGCAGCCTGGTCTGGTGGGAGGTGTCCCTGCCCATGGCAGGGGTTGGACTGGATGAGCTTTAAGGTCCCTTCCAAGCCAAACCATTCTGTGATGGAGAAAACTTGTGTTAATGTCACCAGTTACAGCACTAACACGCTCCCTCACCTCAAAGCCAGCGGGATTCAAACACTAAGTAGCAAGACACGTGAACAGATTGTGTTTGTACACAGCAATCACTGCAGAAGCATCAGAACCCGTCAGAGGGTCCCTCCCAAAGTGTCTGTAACACGACCAAGTTTTAAAATAACAAAATCAAACCTCAGTAACTGTTAATGGATTCTCACATGCAGTTTGCAATACTAAAATTTGCTATTTAGCCCAGCATGAAGTACTGGTGCACATACTAATACCAATAATAACATTGTAAGAGCCAAAACATGAAGAAATCTTATTACTGGCAGATGTAGAATTATGCAGAATGTAGAAGCAAGGATGAGGCATTCAAATGCAAGATGGAAATGCAAAGCCCCTCATGTGACATGATCAGCAACAGAAAACGAGTTGGAAGTGACATGCCAAAAAAGGAGGAGTTGAAGTAGCTGAGATGAGAGATAGCCAGGCATGAGAGGGACAAAGGAATATTTCATAGCCCCAGTGCAATAAACACTGGTTATTTGGGACAGTACCCATGCAACACATTTGGAACAAAATTCATGGTATTTGCTTTGCAGTAGTTACAAACATTTTTGCTTTAGTGTTATGGTTGAGAAAATACTGCCTGCTCTTAAGAACCTGCCTCTGCTCCTGGAGCCGGTGGGGAGTGAACCACTGCGTTCCCAGTCTGAGACACAACCCCAAGTCAAATGACCTGCACGCACACCAAAAAGTTTCCAAACCACCTTGGCTGGCCGCTGTGTTATTTGGACATCTCAGTCACAAAATGACAGCATTTGGCAAGCATTTGCTGCTACAACAGCTCCAGAGCTGTTTCCACTTTCTAAACTGTGGAGCCAAATCATTTGGTGAGTTCCCAATAAATCTCTATACAGACCTGGCTCCACAAAAGCTAGGTTTTGGTGTCCTAACTACTGAACCTACCCCGGAGCTATGGCAAAACAGATCATACCCTTTTTAAGTGGCTACTCATGACCTTAAATTTAAGAAGAAACCGAGAGTAAGTCCCTGCTGCACTTTTTTGCCGACACATTTGACATTAAGCTTTCCATGTCTGCTCTTTCATTGCTGTAAGACATCCTCTGTTGAGACCAACATCGTAATTAATTTACAGCACATTATGGATGGTCTCTACTGAAAACTTATGACACCAGTTGGTCTTAAAAGCATCCCCACCCTTTCAGGCAGCTTCGCTGCCGTCCAAATTTAGTGCCCTACACACGCACGCAAAAATTTCCACCTAGTAAAATACACGCATGACTAAATCGAATATTCTGTAATACACTGTGAGTGCATGAATGCTTACCCAAGTATACTTGCCAAGTCATCATCTTTCGTAACAAGCTGACCAGGATGTGGTTTAATCGCATCAAGTCACCAAACTATCAGAGATAATCTGACGTGGCTGTAGGCAATACTCCACATTTTTCCGGAGAGGTTTCACAGTCAACTTAGCAGGGGGCTGCACCACACCAAGAGTTAGAGACAAGTTCCCTAGGCAGTATCTTAGAGTTTCAGAATTCACCTAAAAGCAGCAAAGTGTGTTCATGTAAGGTGAATTACCATTCCATTGTGAGTTATTTAAAGTTTCAGCACTCTTTAGCACCTCAGAAAGAAAACACATGAAAACATGAAGTCACAGCAAATTATGTCTAAGAGATTCCTGGTTTTAAACTATATCCATTAAAGAACAACTTTTACAAAAAGCTACAAAGAATTTAAGTCTCACAGTTTAAGACAAGACGGGGAAAGAGCACACCTTGCTTGCTCAAATGTGAATTATTTCAAGCAAGTGGAACTCCAGGATAATCTTTGCCTTCTGCAGAAGCCCAAAGCATGAAGCACCCCTGTGTCAGAAAGTAAAGCAAAGCGGTGTCATTATCAACCGAAAGCACAACATAAGGAGCTGTGCGATGCAGAAACAACGCTGCCAGTTTTCACAGCGAAGATCTTCCTCGCAGGGTTTTACAAAGGATCTGATCAAACTGAACACTCTTCAGTACACATGAACAACCTTGACAGCTTCTCTCCTCCCTCCTCCAAGCACACTGAAGACAAGACTACAGCAGTTCTGTGCCTGCAAAAAACACTCAGCTTGGAAGAAGGAAAATCTTCCAGTTCTAAGTTAAATATTTACCACGTACATTTTTTTCCTATAACATATGGAATTCTTATTGACAATTTCTCAGCATAAATATATTTAAGATTTCTAGCATTCCAGCTCTGAACAGGAAATCACTGTAATGTCAATTAACCAAGAAATATTTTAGTAATTAATTAAGAAAATGGCTAATTCTGTGGCTCCAAATGCAACATACAATTTCATACCAAGAAGCTTTCAAACTGACCTTCCTAAAGGAAGCTCTCCATCCCACCAGCATTGCAGGTCCCAGAAAATCACAGGTGCTTCAAGCCAACACAGCAAGGTTTATGATGGTAAGCTACCTCTAAAAGCTGAACTGAAAGCTCAATTTTATACTGGATTCCTTATTATTTTAAGTACAAACAAATCACTGAACAAAGGAAATTAGAAGATGTTAAAAGTTTAAATGCAGAGATTTTTATATATATTCATAAAAGATACACACTAAGAGTTCTTAAAAAAATGTACTATGAACTTTATTGCATGTATCATTCCATAATCATTTGGAGATACGAGAATAAATACAACAAAACCTTTAAGTTACTGGAGATGGGAGATATGTATCTGAACAGAAATGTCTGTCAAAGTGACGTAAATCATCTTGGAGATTACCGAACCATTTGATCTCAAATTCTGTGGCTGATGCAGTTACCAACGACGACAGCGCTGAAGGGCCTATGCATTTCACCTCACCCTGAAACTCCTCTTTTAGTTTTTCTGGTATAAGATCCTGCCCCATAACCTGCAAAGAGAGTAAGAAAGAAGATGGGGAAACAAGAAAATAACTTGCAGAGAAAACAGCAAATACGACATTAATAGCAGATCTTTACAAGAAAAGCCCTTGACACATGAACCACACACCCTCAGGGAGATGCTTCCAAGTCACGATCAAGTTGTCTGCATTCTGCAATAAACAGAGAACCGAGAGCCCAAACTTTGCAGCTGCACAACCCCACCCAGCTGCTGACTACGCTTGCAGGGGGGACTTTTACTCTCCGAGTAGCAGCAGTGGAAATCGCAACGCCGACTCAGCATCCAGTGCTCACCTTGCAACAGCATGAACTCTCTAACCTCTTCCTGGGGGGTGCTGGAGCAAGGGAAGCAAGAGAAGTTTCTTTTCCCAGCCTTTTCAAAGCCTGTGATACTCTGCATGCTACTGCCCTCTGACGGATGAAATCCTATGAGACTGCCTGCCAGCCTGGCAATGGCTCAGCTTTTACTAACTTTAAGCTGTAACAGCAAAGTTAGACCCTCACTGGCTTCCTTTTGTTCCTTAAGATAAAAGCCAGAAACTCTATAAATAGCACTAAAAATGTTAAATTCCTACAAATAATAACACACAATGTTACTCTCCTCCTTTGTATTTCTTTAAAACTAGAACCCAGTAAGTATATCAATCAGAACAAAGAAATCATGTAAAAGGGTGCCTCTGGCTTTTTCTGAAAATGTTTGTTTAATACTCTTCCTGCAAGCGTTTAATACTACTGTGGCCATCAAAGTAATCTCCACTTCATAGCTGTGATTCACTCTGTGGCATCTAAAATTCCCGAGATAAAATCTGCATCCCAGGAAACACACAGCAATGATGCATCTGCAAATACAAATCCAGTGAGAAACTCAACAACCCTGAGCGTTCCTGGAAGGAAACCTCAGCAGCACAGGGATACACCTGCATGACACAAACCAGTGCCAGTTCCAGATATCGCAGCACCAGGACAACCCGCCCCGGCTAATTGACCTTGCTTCCTGGCACAGCTAATTGGCTGAGGGGAGTGTCACACTTACAGGACATCGTAACTGAACTGGCCTGGGTACCTCAAGCAGCCTAGGTACGGCTGGGAACTCGCACAGGATGAACCATCCCCTTACCTCGGTCACCAGCAGCACAGAGTTCTCAGTGAAACCAAGTTGTGCCACTCTGTCATCAATTTCTTTCTGACCTTTTACGTTATTCTCCAGGACAAAGGACGACAGCTGCGACTGGGTGAGCTGAAGTAAAAGTCTGAAATGAAAAAGGCAGCTAAAAAAAAAGGCACGGCTGGCAAACGAGTAAGTCAGCAAACCTAAAAAAAACCCCAAATATAATACTATAAACCAGCATTTCTTCCTGACTTTTGCCAAGTGCAAAAACTGCAAAGAAATTAATACATCCATATCAATCTACTATGGGTATGGTGTACCTGTGCTGAACGAAAGTACTGAGAAGTACTTTTGAAAAACAACATGTCAAGCATCTCTGGCTGCTCTGTGGAAACATTTTCCTCCCCGTGTAATTGTCACACAATTCAAAAGCAAAGCTGGGATCTGCCAGCATTAACAGCAGTACATCAGCTGTCCCACAGCCTTATCACAGCTTAACAAGACAGCAGCGCTTTGCTGCCTACAGCAGGTATTGTCTTTGTAACCTGAAAAGCTAGAAATTTAGGGTTTAAACAAATATCACAGAATGGTTTGGGTCGGAAGGGGCCTTAAAGATCATCCAGTCCAACCCCCCAGCCATGGGCAGGGACACCTCCCACCAGACATCCTCTGCACAAAGGCCAACTCTGGAATATTTTCCAAAATCTTTCATCGCAGTTTTACGTTCAAGGCAGTGCCCCAGAAGTCACCACCATGATTTGGTGAAGTTTAGACGTTGTGCTTACAATGTGGCTTCATGTCACCAAGGGACCCCCTTCATCCACTGCTGGAGCAGTGGCAGTTCCCAGAGTCCTGCTCACACCAGGACTGTAAAACATGTCAGCAGAGAAATAGCTTGGTATATTCGACCAAGGGACCACTGGGACTTAGTAGTATTGCTGCTGAAACTATGTTTAATTCAAGCTTTATGCATAAAGAACAGCAACAATTTGTTATCACATTTACCAAAGTTAAATGAAGCAGGTGTTATAATAAAGGTGTGTATTGCTGTGAAGAGAAAACTTATGATCTTAGATGAAAGTTTTCATTTGGGCATTATAAACATCAAAATTTACAAGTCTGAGCCAAGAAGCAATCTGTAAATTCCGTCAAGTTTTGACTGCGAAATGCAAAGTACAAGTGGAAAGTATTTTCAATTTGTAAAGTGTTTATGTTTCAAAATTTGCATCAACACAATGTAAGAAAGAGTGAAATCTCAATGAAAAATAAAGAAAACCATTTCTCCATTTTTTGCTGGCAAAACTAGAAGAGTCAATTATTCGTGATGCTTTAACACAGAACAACGTCGCAATAGTAACATTCCTTTTCCTGGAGCAATTTATTTTCATGCAACATCCACATCTCCCTTAAAATTTCAACAGAGCTGAAAATTAAATTAGACAACCTCTTTAACGCATAAGCCCTGGGCAGGAGGGGAAGCTCACCCTGGACAAGTGTATCTAAAAAAACCAAAACACAGTGACACTTTGTGAAACTCTGCAGGCACACAACAAAATCCCTCAATTTATAACTGTCTCAATGCTGAACCACACACACCAAAACAAGCAACACAAAATTACTGTAATATGAATGTAGCTTTAATATTCAGTATTGGTACTAAATCTATTAACTTCTCCCAAGCAGCAATTCAAGTCACTGTCTCTGAGCAGAGTTAAAAGCAACTGCAACTTTTTTTATATTTCTTAAATCTTTCCGTA